CCCTTCTGTCTGTATCACCCTGCAGGAGGAGGACAGACTCATAGCTCCCTTCTGTCTGTATCACCCTGCAGGAGGAGGACAGACTCATAGCTCCCTTCTGTCTGTATCACCCTGCAGGAGGAGGACAGACTCATAGCTCCCTTCTGTCTGTATCACCCTGCAGGAGGAGGACAGACTCATAGCTCCCTTCTGTCTGTATCACCCTGCAGGAGGAGGACAGACTCATAGCTCCCTTCTGTCTGTATCACCCTGCAGGAGGAGGACAGACTCATAGCTCCCTTCTGTCTTTTATCACCCTGCAGGAGGAGGACAGACTCATAGCTCCCTTCTGTCTGTATCACCCTGCAGAAGGGATGGGTCCATTGCTAATGTCTCTATCACCCTGCAGGAGGAGGACAGACCCATAGCCCCCTTGTGTCACCCTGCAGGAAGAGTTACAAGCTCATATTGTCTTTAATTTGTGCCATTGGGAGAACAGAAGAATGACACATTCTTAGTGTCATTTTTCTCCCTTCTATTATTTTCCGTCGGTTGGCAGTGACATGAAAAATGTTTAATTCTGGTGGTTGTTACAGCTTGATGAAACCAAGGAAGGTGGCCTGACGTTGGGTAACCAGAGTGGCATTTCTACGCGGTATTTCAAGTGTGATGGAGTTTCCTTTGTTCAGTCGAAAGACTCCTAAATGGAATTAAAAGCGAGATGTTAAACAGCAAACTTTGGGCACAAAAGATACCAAATAGTGAATTACTAATGCTGAAAACTTGAAGCTGTGCTCAAGTAATACACTTCACTCAAGTTGACCCACTCTAGACAAACTTCTCAAAGCTCCTTACATAAGCATAGGTCTGCATCCTGAATTCTAAGCTTCCTCTCTCTCCATTGGTATCACCCTTTATTTTCAGACTTTCAAGACAGATATGAATCTTATGAGCGGCTATGTTGAGGTTCAGTATCAGATTCAGGGGCCAGGTTGAGGATTATATCTAGGGATGATATATAGAAAAAAAAGTCTGCGCTCCTGGAATCAGCTAAAAGCTATTAACCCCAAAGCTGCTATGAGAAAAGGAAAACCTTGTGAATTTGTTTTTAGTCTTTTATGTAAGTTGCTATTTTTTAATAAATTACCCTGTTTAATTTACTGCACCATGAGGGTTGTTATTTCTTTTTTTTTAAAAACCCGCTAAACATCCTTCGGGACTGTGAGAGAGGCAGCGGCTGATCGTGAAGGAGAGAAGCCGCTATTTGCCTGTGACGGAGAGCCGGGATGACTGCGATACTGCAGGGGAGAAGCGTCTATTGATATCCATCTCCCTGCCGGGGAAGTTTTGAGTATACCAGACGGGTTTGCTCACCTCTCGATCCTGTCACGGCTCTCTGCTCTCTGCCGTGACAGGGGGGGGCTGGATTCCCCCGCTCCGATCCGCCAACGCTGACTGGCGGAATGGATGGGGAGGGCGCGGGTACAGCTGGCTCTGCCTTTAGATAGGCAGAGCCAGCTGTCAGTCACGCAGCTGGGCGGATCCAGACATAATTGTCGGGATCAGCTTCAGCTGCGGCATCTCAGTATACCGCGAGCTACAGCTCGCGGTATACTGAGCCTAGGGTGACGGGAGGACGCTAGTTTGTGTCCTCCCGTTACCCTAAGGAGAACTATGGGGAAAAGCCTTAACCCCATAGTTCTCCTTTAAAGGAGAACTATGGGGTCAGTGTTTTTCCCCATAGTT